AGAGAATGAAGCAAAAGCTCTCGATGAATTCACTCATGTATTTGCATGTAGGATTCCACTCAGCATGCCGCTGAGATTTTGTTGGATATTTGGACAAACAGCCATATTGATTTTTGGCTTATTTTTCGAAAGTTTTTTGTGATTGGTACAGATTTTCACAAATCTGAAATATTTTGTGAGACAAGTTTCAGTTGACAAACAGATGGAGGCTTACTAGAGCCAAACCGGTGCGCTGATTTCCTATCCGGAAAATAATCTTTATTTAACGACTGTAACTTGACTGTGGTAGTCCAGCTGTAGTGTTTGCGCCCCTACTTCCTTGGTATGAGATCGATTTCCCCCACAAATGCAGAAACTGTATGCTCATTGTGATTCCTACAACTACAAGTTCAAGCAACCTTGAACCAGTTAGAGGAACATAGGATCAATTGCTTACAATCTTAAGTATGATGCAGCACAACTAACTTTTGAACTTTTAGCTTTAATTCAGGATGAAGAGTTATGGGAAGTTGGTCACGGAAGAACGTTCCTCAAAAAAATTGGTCCCCGGAAAGTGGGTCCAAAAAATTGCGGCGTGGGGTTCACGGGGCCCGCTTAATCATGGGCCCCGAATTTTTTGTAATTCTAAATGCTCTGTGGCGATCTGAGGAAATTTCTGACCACTTTAACCATTTTTTTGTTTCGAAAAGATGGTAGTGTACCAAGTGCCTGCCTTTATTGCGACGTCACTTAAAAACAAAATTGTTTTTTTTTGGCGGGGCGGGGGGGAGGGGGCCATGGTTCCCTCCCCCCGGAACCGCCTTGTCCGCTGTTCATCTTAAAATATGAAGCACAAGCTCTGTTTGCATGCAGGGTTCCACTCAGCATGCCACTTAGATTCCGTTGAATATTTTCTTGAAATGGCGATAGTAGTATTTGCTGAATACTTTGAAAGTGTTTGGTCAGTTGGTACACAAATAATAATAAGAAAAAAAGGGACATTATTCGGTTAACAAACAAATGGGGGATGTTGCTAGTAGTCAAACCGGTGCGCTGATTTCCAATCCGGAACATAATTATTTTTGTAACGACCGTACCTTGACTGCGGTGCCCACCTGATTTCCGCCGCCACTTCCTTAGTATGAGATCGATTGTCCTTGATAATGCAGAAAATGTATGTTCATTGTGGTGCCTACAATTTCAAATGCAAGCAATTTAAAAAAGAAAACATAGGATTATTTGCTTTTGAATTTTTTTTTCGTGAGAAGCAACAAAATGGCTTAAAAACTTAAGAAGGTCGCAACTAACCTGTTGAAGTTTCAGCTCAGTGGATACTATCATTGAGAAAAAGCAGAGAAAACGTATACTCGTTACTTGATTCCATGCTTTATAACACCTTAACAATTTTTTTTTAATTTTAAAAACACCTGCAAAGTTTTCAACCGATATATCAGGCGAAATACTTTCACCGGGTATTTGATACCAGTCTTATCTTCACTCTCAGCATTGCAAGGTTTCTGTCATTAAATGTACTTTTCCGGGCAATTGTAAATGATCCTACGTGGCCTTAAATTCTTTTTGCATACAGATTTCTCTCAGAAAATCTGGGCATTTGTTTTGGTAGTTACTGCGTTTGATTCAAAAATATTAAACCCTTCAAAGAAGACATGAATATTGTTGCTCGTGCGTGGGTCTGTTCGGGGCCGTTGCATGCAGGACGCATTCCGCTAAAAATATATATATAATCATTCCAGATCACATTTCGCCCGACAGAGATTTTGATCTGGGGGTATTTTACTTGTGAATTTCAGCGATGCCTCCCCCCAACAGCCCCCAAGATATCTCCCGGTGGATTTTCAATGACTCATTTTCGTTGGTATTATTTGCAGCTCGCAATCTGCTGAGTGTTGAGGATTCCCTTCGTGATAGAATTCAAGAACGTTACATCGAGGTGAGGGTCTGTTATTTGACATTTTCCTCACTCATCATCAGAACAGAGCAGTGATTTTGGTTGGAGACTGTGTTTTTTTTCTATATTTATAAACCTTTTGGTCAAAATTTTAACAGAAAACATCGCTCGAGTGATATTCCCTCCCTATAACACCCACCGTAGAACTGTGCCAGACATTTTGGCCTGCAGTCTTTGCAAATTCCTCGTTAAACTCATCGATGTGCCTCGAACTTATAGCGGAAACACGCTGAAATTTCCTTTACATTTTTTTTCTGCAGGTACATCAGTTGGCAAAAAAAGAGAACTAAGATGAAAACAAATATTGATCACACCAATATTTAGCTGCTGCGTAATCAGATTCTTTGGAATTTGTCTTCTTTTATTTATTTTTTAAATCGGAATTGTGTTCGCAACCGTTGTCCTAATTTTTTCTTGATCGTTGATCACGTTGTAATTCGTTTGTGATTGTTTATCAACTTCGGGAATCATAACATATAGGTTTTTGCGTCCAATTTCGCAACTTGTTCGTCCAATAAGAGAGACTGTTCATTACATTGAAAAAAAGGTCGCAGTTAACGCATTTGATATATTTTTTAATATTTACACCCACCAAATCGTGTAGGCAACTTTGTCGTGCAAAAGAAAATCCATTTCTTTTGTTGGTTTTCGATCTTGCACCGAGTATAGGCGAATCTGTAAGAGGAAGTATTCATTTTCAACGAAAGTACAATGGAATAAGGGGTCCATTTAATTTGCAATTCGCAATTCGCCAATTGTATTGGCTACAAAAAAATTAGGGCCTAGGCCTATACGATTTTTTTTTATTTCCACAGAGTGATTACAACAATTAACAAACTAATCACTTAATTGTCCCTACATAAAAACCTGTATTTTGACATAGTATTTTATCGGCGAGTGTTCTAAATGTATTTCCTTCTATCACTTTGACACTTTACATTGATACAGTTCTGTTCTGCTTTTTTCATATTCCCTTCCCAGGCATTCCAATCTTTGAAATAGCTGTACATTCCTTAATCCAAACTTTTCAAAAGCCATGTCATTTTATACTCTGATGTATCACTATAACACAATATCTTGCTAATGCAACTTCCAAATATCATTGAACTGTGTTGCTTTTGTAAACGTATGCATCAAAGTGAATTCCCGAGCGGGACTGAAATTTAAAGCACAAGAAATTCTATGCACAAGTCACGTAATGTGTTGCTTACTTTTCAAGCGTGAATGAAGAATACCCTCAAATATTTTGAGCTGTCGCTATTAAAGTTCAACCGGGTGTGAAAAGGTCTGCATGTTTTATGCAATGTTGAATAAAAATGTTTTATTATTATTATTAGCAAAGTATGAAATTGGGCGGGAAACCCTATAATATTTCATAGTGAATGAAAAAGTTCATTTCTGCTTTAAAACTCATAGTGAACTGGAGTTAAAAGTAAATTTGCCTGGACAAGTGCAACGAAAGCTTAGAATGCCAACAGACTTTTGACCGAGTTACTAGTGTCTCAAAAAAGATACATGCCTTCACAAAAATTAATTTAAAAAAAATCGTTTCAATAATAACGTGTAAACAAATATTATGCTTATTTCAAGAATTAGTCAATTCGAGAGAAAGTGAACAATGCGACGTTAAAACAGGTTGTTTTTCTTGACGAATTCGGACAGGAAAACCTATTATTCTAATTACTTGACCCTTATTAATTAGTGAGTAATTTTTCCTGTTTTGGGGTGGCAATGGATCCCAATAAGAAAAAAATCGCACCCATTTATCTTAATTGATAATAAAATAGTATTAAACTGTAAACTTAACCAGTATTCGTTTGTATGTTTTTTTTCAGCCTACACTGAACTTCTTGTGATCTCTTCTTGGACCTGATCTTCAAGAACGAACCATCGAGGTGGGTGTGGTGAGGTTTAATTAATGATTCTATCAGGACCGGGGAAGGGGCAAGATGTGCTCCGCCTCCCCCCCCCCCCCCCATCCCTCCAAAAAAAAATACTACAGCTCCGGAACGCTTTGCCCTATCGGAATGCATTTTGGTGACCTTTCTTAAATTTTATTGGCAGGCGAAATAAAAACAAAATCGATTCGATGGGTTGCCATGACAACCGGTTTTATAAACTAGGCTTCTCATAAATGTTAGCCCCTTGACCCCTCATACGCCACTGTTATATAACAAAGAAAACATTCTTCGAACAATGATTCCTCCAATCTCATGTTTTTCAGGGTTTTTTTTCTTCAAATCTGACGGCGGATTGTCATGATATTTAGACTAGTTCTCCTGTTTATCAAACCTCAATATTTTTCACTACTCTTCCCATTTTTAAAAACTATTTTATCGAAAAAAAAATCTCACCTGATTTGTTTCAGTTTAATCGTTGTTATTCTGTACAGAATGAAAATCTTCGTGGCAACCGTTCTTTCAATCGCCCTCCTTCTGGGTAACTCCGTCAACCTCCGAGCTTCCGTTACTGGGCCGGTTGCCTCGGACGGTGATGGTCCTGCGTCTCAGGCGGGCCAAACGTGCTGCCAGGAAACAGCTGCAATTGTAGGAATTTTACAAGGGTCAAAGGGTGATGCAGGTCAAAAAGGAGAGCCGGGTGACGACGGCAGAGGCCTGCCGGAAAGATGGGACCAAGAGGTTTAGTTGGGCCAACAGGAGAAACTGGTGTCAAAGGTCAAAAGGGTGATATCGGCCCCCGGGGTCAGCGGGGAGCACGTGGTGTCAAAGGTCAGTTGGGGCTCCAAGGCCGTACTGGTATTGCAGGCGAGCCAGGACTAATCGGACCGATTGGCCCTCAAGGTGACACTGGGCCTAAAGGTTCAGTCGGGCAAACCGGTCGGACTGGTGTCAAAGGTCAAAAGGGTGAGCCAGGGGAGGCACCAGACGACTCCAACCAGCGGGTAGCATTCACCGTGGTGAGGACGAGCGGCTTGTTTACCTCTACGAGTGACTTCACCCGTTTGCCCTTCCAGGCGACCGAGACGCTTCTGCCGGGTACCAGCTTCGATCTCGACACCGGCACGTTCACGTGTGGTGTGCCGGGCACCTACGTGTTCATGTTTTCTGTGAACAAATATCCTTCCAGCAGCAGCCTGTGGGTTCTTCTCCGGAAGAACGGCGACGCGGTTGTCGCTGGCCATAGCAATGATTCAAGTCACTATGAGCAGGTGTCTGGGAGCGCGGTGGTGGTTCTGCAGCGTAGAGATACAATGTATCTCACTATGTCCGGTAGGGCGTATAGTAATTCCATTTATCACCGGACCTCATTCAGTGGCTTCCTTCTTTACCCCGAATAAACACAATCCAACACATAAAGATACACGAGCATCGTGTTGCTGATTTTTTAAATCGCTTTCTATTTTTGCCGAAACAATAACCAATGAATTAAAAGAAATAATTTTCAATGACAATGTCACAAAATATTATTATTAATGGTTTTGCATTGCGCATGCGCCGATCTGTATACAAAAATGGATTCACCATTTTTTAAAAATTCTTGCAAAACAAAATATTTAGCTATATGGATGAGTATTGAGATATAGTGAAAAGTATGTGTTAAGTTTTTTGACGATATTTTTTTGTACCCATTGTAGGCCTATCGAGAAATATTTTGATTTAATATTTTTTTCAAAGCAAGCTGGGTCATCATTTTTTTTAGAAACAAAAGGTTTGCAATAAAAGGTTTGCAATAAAGCAGTGCCACCATGTATCCAGAAATGTTAACAACTAAAAACAGATTGTGTTTATGGCGTTATCTCGACCAACCTGGATTTTTTAGGCCATGTTTCTGACCGCCATTTTTTTTTATTGCCACATTTGGTGAACATATAAAATAACATGTTTTTTTCCCGAAAACAAATGCAACTAATTTGTAGTATTGGGTATTTAAACACAATAACTGTATCCTAAAGTAAACAAAGGGCAAGATTACCATATGCGAAGTTCACTTATTTTCCTCTGTATTGACTAACAAGCCCCCAGATAACAATTCATGTCATCAAAGTCAATTTGAGCAGTGAGAAAATACAAGCATTTTCTTAGAAAACAGTTAGAATTTTTCAGTCCACTCTCATAGGATTTGTACACAGAGTGTTGAGTGAACTTCGTATATGGAAATCTTTCCAAACAAAGTATAAAAGACATACAGACAAACAAATTATTTTGCTACCTACCTGGATAATTTTAGGGCGTTTACTGTAACTTGTTATTTTCTTTGCCTTATGTTCCCTGTATGCCCAGCACAGATGATGTCAATTAAATCAATCCCATGCATGTATCAATTTTTATTTCATGTCACGACTGAAAAAAGTCTCAAGTGATTGAATCTGATTTTCTTATAGACTTTAAGCTTGGCATTTGGATTAACAATTGTTTGAAATATTCTAATGCTATTCACAGCAATTAGAATACACTGGTTTTTATGAAATGATTGCATTATTTTAAACGTTACAATATGTGAGAATTATGTAAAAGTAACAATTGACTTGCTATGAAAACAGTATGCATAAAACCTCATTCTGAGGATTACCAAAAGCACCACCATTGTTGATAAATACTCTCTTTTTTTTCGCTTGGCTTCGTTATGAAAAAAAACAATGATTTTAATTACTTTCAGTTGAAACAGAAACGTGCCCACAGTAATGAAAAAAGTGGAGTTGGCTGTTGTTTTTAAAGCCCGTAAAAGTACGACAAGTGTTTCTTGATTAACAGACTCCAAATTATTTGAAGACTTTTATTGTTCTTAATCAGTATTACTTGACTGCATTCAAGAAACTCACTTTGAAAACATCAGTGAAAGTGTGAGCCCGTTAGATGGTAAAGAAACGATCTTAATGAAATCAATCAAAACAAAGCACAAATTCCATTCAAGTGAGGAGGGTCTTTCAACTGGTTGGAATTGTACTTTGTCACTTTAACATTTCAAGTGAATTTCTTTGTATTGACTTTTATTTGGATGCCATATTTGGCATCCCTGCTGACAGCATATCCTTGGATAATGTCTCCAGCCAGCACATGTACATGTAGGCTGAACAAGTACGCTTCCTGGGAATAGGTAGACTCCTGCAAGAAATCAAAGAAAAGGTTATAATGGACCCTTCCTGCACGTCAATCAACAGTGCACACCGACCAATCAGATCATCACTTTTGATCAGGTGACCACAGTAGCTCAGTCAGACTGGGTCACAAGCACTGTTAGATCTATTGCTCACCCCGCCCCCATTTTTTTGCACCAGCGGTTAACACCCCCCCCCCCAAGTATTCTGTAAAGAGTGCCCTTTTTACACAAGTAACTTTTAGTTTTTACACAAGTGTCCTTAGTTTTGTTTAAAAAGTTTCTTGTTTCGCCAGCGGCTTTTAAAGAATTTTTGGTATTTCGTGTAAACGTCAGCAATTGTGCTGGCATGAAAAGAGCCACCCATTGACCTACCGCCGTTTGCGAGTTAACCACGCCCCTTAGACAACTCTATAAGCCATTTCGCTGATACCGCCATCTTTGAATTATTTTTTTCGAGGGGGGGGGGGCATTACAATGAAAATACGTCTCATCATGCAACAGTAGCTGAGATTGATGGGATGTCTTTTCATTGTAATGCCCCCCCCCCCCCCCATTTCAAAGATGGCGGTATCCGCGAAACGGCTGCGTTGACGCAATTCCACCGTGATAGGTTAATTGTCCGATAGTGGCCATTATCGCCGGTTTGTACTTACATGACAATGAGCTGAGCCTCCTGGGAATGTTGGAGAAGCAATTCACGGATCCGCATCTGTCTGTTGGTCTGAAAGAAAAAAAAAAGATTTCAGGCGAAAAAATGTCGTGATTTATTGATGTTTACTAAAGTCGTGTTCCATGCACTTGGCAAATCAAATGAACTGAGAGTAGTACGGAAAATGGATTGAAAGTGATCAATCTCATTATTGAAAATCAGCCTCCAGAATGTCAAAGGTTGGACCCAATTAACAGATGTTGCAAGACTGGACTTAAAATCACACAAACCAGGGACTAAGCGTAAAGTGGACACTGGGAAAGCTTGAAGTGTATTGTCTCCATGCATGGACGAAAGAGGGCGCTTTATAGTCAAACAAGCAGAAGCCGGACTGAGGGACACTTCACTGGTTCACTCATGCTGGTTATCGTGTATTTGGAACCATCATTTATAAGCCACGATGGCGCCCAAATGGCCCTCGTTTATAGTTTTCTCTGTGGAGGGGGGGGGGGGTGCTTGAGCGCAAGAAGGAGATTCTACCTTCTCGTTGAGCGTAGTGACTTCCTCCTTGCTGATCTTCCAAGGAAACTTCTCCGTGGTCTCCCCTGCTTCCTCATCCAGCATCCAGGGTTTGGACAGCTCCTTGAACCGTCTCAGGCTCTCAGTCCTTGGGCTTCTTGTTCAGGTCCGGGATGACCTCCACGTCCAAGCAGTTGATGCGGAACTTGCTAAGCATGTTGGCCATGTTCATCTTCTCCCTGTCCATTTGCTCCTTCTTGCAGTGGCGGCAAAGACGTGCAGCCTACATTTCTCCCAGTTGGATTTCAAGGAGATGAGGTGAGGGATGAGTAGGGTCAAGCCTGGGGGTGGTGGGAGGTGGGGGCGGAGGTTGGGGGGGGGGGGTTCACAAAAAAAAATTATACAGAGCATTATTTCCCTTTGACATAAAGCATGTGTTTCCTTCGACATGCAGCCATCCAGAGAGATCTCTGAAAGGCTCCCTGAAATGAAAAGGACACTGAAACAAAATAATAAAGCCAACCAAGAACAAAAAGTGTGGTGTTTTCTATTAGGCCAAAAAAAAAGTCGGTCTCTGGTCGGCGCGCGCGTCGATTTTAATCATGAGCGTCAATCTTTTTTTTCCAAAATGTTTCGCGGTAGCTCCGACAGCGCCCTCTATTGCCGCATCTCCTCAATTTTTTTTAACAAAGAGCACCAAGGAATGGGAAATTGCTAGAGAGCACCATCGAGAGCACCAAGGCAAATTATGGAGGACACCAATGTACATGAGGACACCAAAAAAGCAAAATAGTACCCCACCTTGGGCCAAGTTCGCGCAAGGACTATAGTTGACCAATGGTTAACTAACGTTTGCCCGAACTCTGTCTAGTCGACGGTGATTGACTACGCTAGTCGACTATTTGGAACCAGCCTACTGGGGTTGGTTGCTTCGCTGGTAACCAATAGCTGTGCGTATTCATAACGCTAGCAGAGAGCCAGGATCCAGAAGTTTTGCGATGACATTTTGACCAGCATTTGACTAGAGACGTTCGCACGTTGCTATCAGTGCGCAGGCGTAAGGTACGTCACAAATCAACCACTAGTCGACTAATGGTCCTTGCCCGAACTTGGCCTTGTCTGTACAATCCAAGCTTGAAAAAAAAAAAGCAAAAAAAAAAAAGCCACGTCCCCGCGTCAATTCCGGAACTTTGGTCTGACCAGAGACCAAATATTTTTTTTTGGTCTACATATAAGAAACAACTGTGTGGTAGGGTAGGTAAAAATCTGTTTTTGGGGGGGGGGGTTGACATTTCTATAGCCTGAAAATATAAGGTGGGATGATAGTCATTAAAATTTACTTTTTTTCTCTATTTTGCATGCATTAGTTAACATGTGAATCATTCTGCACTTCTGACCAACTTACACAAAAATAAAAATAAAGTTTATAGTTTTCACTGTGGTGGGGGGGGGGTGCTTGAGCGCAAGGAGGAGATTCTACCTTCTCTTTGAGTGTGGTGACTTCTTCCTTGCTGATCTTCCAAGTAAACTTTTGGTCTCCAGGCTGCTTCCTCATCCAGCATCCAGGGTTTGGAGAGCTCCTTGATGATTGTGTTGGTCTTGATCTTACCCAACCCACCAATCTAGACGGAAACCAATCAGGAAGGAAAATTTGAATGCATTTGCTCTAAATAAATTGTGTCCAGGTCTTAGAAAAGACCAACGTTAGTGCTGATAAAAAGCGAGAAACCTTGACAAATCTGGTTTAATGATCTTGTTATACATTTTGCAACTTTTACTCAATTCTCTAAAGACCTGCTTGCATTTTACTCAAACTGTTCATCAAAATTCATTCCGCAAAGTCTTTTTCAAGTTCTCAACTGTGAGTACACATTTCGGTACTCAAAATACTCATCGAAATATTCTGCTTACCCTGT